GCCATGACGTAAACGGCTTGTTTGAAGAGTTTGGTGAGCCATATGATCCAGCTGAATGGCGTTTATTCATCGATAGCAGCAAGTTGAGCTTGAAAGCCGTTTTACTGCATCAAGGGAATGAGAAACCTTCTATTCCATTATGCCGTTAATATGAAGGAAACGTATGAATCAATGGCTCTATTGCTCAATTTGATAAATTACAATCAACACAATTGGAAAATTTGTTCCGATCTTAAAGTGGTTGCCATGTTGACTGGATTGCAACAGGGATACACAAAATATATGTGTTTTTTGTGTAAATGGGACAGTCGAGCTCGTAAGGAACACTACGTCCGAAAAGATTGGCCAAAACGGGATAATTTCACAATTGGTAAAGACAACGTTAAAAATGATCCTCTTGTGGTAAAAGAACGCATAATACTTCCACCACTACATATAAAACTTGGGCTATTCAAAAATTTCGTCAGAGCGTTGCAAAAAGAAGGGCCGGCATTCCAGTACTTGAAATCAGTATTTCCAAATTTATCTGACGCAAAGATAAAGGAAGGTGTATTTGTTGGCCCACAGATCAAAAAACTGCTCAATGATTCCGCATTCAATACAGTTTTGACACCAGATGAGGAAGAAGCGTGGAAATCGTTCCAGCGTGTTGTCACAACCTTTTTAGGAAATTTCAGAAGCCCAGATTATGAGAAAGCCGTCGATGAATTGCTCAAAAATTATGAGAAAATAAGTATAAATCAAAAATATTGTGTTTGTTACATATAATTAATTTCAAATCCTTTTATTTCACTGAACACAGGTGTGAATATGTCTTTGAAGATACATTTCCTACATTCTCACATGGATTTTTTCCCGGAAAATCTTGGTGACGAGAGTGATGAGCACGGCGAACGTTTTCACCAACAAATGAAGATGATGGAACGTCGTTACCAAGGGTTTTGGGATGAAGCAGTCATGGTTGACTATTGTTGGTTTCTGATTCGAGAAACAAGTTCAAAACATCGAAGACAAAGTCATTCGATTCTAAATCATTTTTAATAAAACCTAAATAAATTTCTTTTGTATCAACTCGGTTTGAAATCCTGATATGCCTTAATCAAATTGATATGTAGAGAAAAGAATCTCCCATGAAAACTTTACATGCGATTTGGATGCTTACAACGACACCTAGAAAAGGAACTCTAAAGCTGTTGTATTTCAGCAACATTTTTAAGTGTTTTACAAAAATGCTCATAACTTCGACAATTTCCAACCGATTTCATCCATTGAAGGCTCATTTTCTCCGGTTTTGAATGGACTTTGAGAATAAATTATGGAATGATTTTTTGAATCTTTTTATCCCATTAAAAATGTTGATTAAAACAAGATTTTTATGGAAAATTCGCAGGAAAAAAAAAAAAAATGCTGTAAATTTTTAAATGACTTCAAAATTAAATTTTTAATAAAGACATAATACTGTAGTGAACGATAGCTTTTTATTTAGCTTCATTTTCATAAAAAAAGATTTAAAATTAGTGCACTAGTTCAAAAGATATTGACATTTTAGTAATCGTACTTTTGTCCAAAATTCAAAGAATCAAAATTTTTGTATATCTTAAAAATGGCTCTACTTTAATTTTTTCTGACAACGGCATTGAATTCAGCGTAGGATTTTGCATTGGAAATGATCATCACCTTACCGAGTTCAAAAATGCTGTAAACTAGTGTAATGAGCAGTTCCACGCCAAATGACGAATCAAAAAAATCGACCCTCGCCAATTTAAGCCATTATTTTGAAAAAAAATTCAAGATCCTAAATGGCTAAATTTTAGCCAGGTTAGTAAATCATTGCCCATAACAAACAATTACGAGAAGTTTCATACAAATTTGCCTGGAACTGCATAAATATATCTTCTGTAAGAGCACTGTACTAATAAAAGAAAGGCGACCGTTTTAAGTTTAATTTACTTACCAACATACATGTAGTTCAATATGAATTACTAAGCATCACGTACCTGAAAAGGAAGAAAATAATGCACCATAAATATCTCTTTCGTTAAACATTCAATCGTGAACATAAACCGACATCATAAGCTGAAATATATCTCAACAATGTTTGTGACACGCATTCAACAAATGCGATTCCAAAATTTGATTAAACGAAACGCACCACCGATTGTCAAATTACCCCTAAAGTTTCAATTTCCAATTTAATATGCTAATTTCCCGAAACGGAATCGTCACCCCAACAAAAAAAAACCTGAATTAATCCACCTATGGTGAGCTCTCACCCTTCTTACTAATATGTATTCCGGCAAAAGGGCTCATGTGATGTGGTGTGGTTGTTGAATTCTCATGGGATTTGACGTATGGCATGATGGATTTTGACCTCCGGGCATACCCGAAACATGTCCGGATGGGGCGGGGCCAGTATGGTCCAGCCTGGGCACTCCAAATGATTACCGTTGAACTAGATTTTTTGAATTCTCATGTGATTTGAGGTATCGCGTGATGAATTATGACCCTAGTCAAAAACTGGTCACTTTCCCGGAAGTACCCGGAACGGGAACGGATGTAGCCAGCGTGGTTTTGAGAATTTAATATGACATATTATTCCGGCCATAGCTCCGGAACCAATTGGCTGATTCCAAAAATATTCAAAAGCATTTCATTTAGCGGTCGCTGCTTCCAATGCGGTTCAGTGAGTTTCAATATGTTGACATTGTCTGATCTCGTCGAGCTGAGTCGAATGGTATATGACACTCGACCCTCCGAGCCTCGGTTCAAAAGTCAGAATTTCCACGCCGTATGTATACCCTTCTCTGTAAGAAGGGTAAAAAGCAGACAACAAATCAATCAACACTCACTTTCCCGAACCTATACACCCAAAAATCAGATGAGAAAAATTTCAAATCACATTCCAGGTGAAATGATGATAGCTTGCCCCATGGCATAAATAAATAAATATTCTCCCACGCTTCCTGCACTGAGCATCAACAATAAAGGGGTGAATGACGACGACGACGACGACGAGGCAACTCATCATCACCATCATTCATCGTTTGATTGGTTCTCAACGAGCATTAATCACATTATCAGGCAAACACACATAAGCACATACACACACACACACACACACACTCATCAGTAGAGGAAGTTCGATCTGCAAATCGCTAGCAGCTTATCACGGGGATTAACAAACGATATCATGTATGTGTGTGGGTGTGTGTTCGTCTGTCCGTCGATTATGATGAGGACGATGATTATGATTGCATAAGTGGTTGATCCCCTGAATACAGTTTCTATAGAGTCCGAAAGTGCGGAAGGGGAAATGGACCGGAGCCAAATTAGTGACCACTTGTCTGACTTGGGTGCGAGTGGGCGTAGATCGACATGAAAATCTCCCACTGACAGGAGCCAAAGCTCATGGATTGAGTGTGTGTGCTTGTAAGTAAGGATAGGGGATTAGAGCAAGCAACACCACCAACCACCACAGCTGCTGCCAACTGACCTAGGGCAAATCCTTTTCGCAATAAATCTCACAACGGGTGATCCGATGCCGTAAGCTGAAAAAGCTGCCCTTTGTTAGCTTGTCGGTGTTAATTTCAAGGACTTCCCGCCGGGAAGTTTATGTTCAACCGAGGAAGCGTTACAACTTAATTAGTTCACTCGATAAGGTTTTGTTTTACAATTTCTGGATGGGCGGTTTTTACTGGTCGTAATGAGGCGTTCGAGCCAAAATTTGAATTTTCAGTCCGATATCTCTCATTTCACGCTCGTTATTCAAATTAAGCCACACAAATTTCCTCGCTCGTTATTTCTACTCGTTCAACCAAACTAAAGAAAACTTTCCGGTAACAAAATCCATTAAATTATTTGTTTGGTTATTTCAAGAACATAATTCCGTACAACTGCCATCGCCTGACAACGAGCGGAAAATTATCAAACTCGAACCTTGGCCAACCGTCATCGGTGGGCGGCCTCGGAAGAAATAAATTAAATTTGTTGTTCTGCTCCTCAAACTTTGAGCAAAGCCACCACGACCAACGCGGCCGGTGGCGACGGTGGTGGCCAATTAACCCCTTGAAAAGTTCCTCCAACCTTTGCATCGAATTCAAGAGAGGGATGATAATTGAAACCTAGCTGTTGACATTCCGCGAAAGTCCCAATCCCAGACCGGCGGCGGTGGCGGCGGCCGGGTCGAGACACTTCAAATCAAGTCGAAAATTGTGATGACTTTTCACCCCAACCAACCAACCAACCAGGAGAAGAGCAGTCCTCAACATCAAGAACCACTCGACGGCCGCGCGACGACGACGACGTGTCTAGTTTTCTCTCGCAAAGAAGCACAGAACGTTTACGGTAATAATCCTACGCTGGGTTGTTTGCTTTGGTTGGGTTTGTCGTGCGAGTGTGGTGCGAGACTCGCTGCGGGACATTTCATTTCCGGTGGTGTCACGTGCATTTCAACCAAGGAATACGAATTAGATGCAAACAAATCGCATCGCATTAAGCTGTACCTATCAGCGTGTACCAGGAGGCAAAGGTTGGTGACGAAATTATGGTCGAAGTAGGATTTGAATGGGGATGGCAGGTTTGATAAATTTAATTAGAAACTGACGGTGGTGGTTTGGGGTATGGCAAAATGGAAGGACGCACAGGTGGCGTTCCGAGAGAGCGAGAGAAAGAGGAGATTTTGAAGGCTACAATATCCCCTTCCAATTTAAAAACCTGCTATTTTAAAAGCATCCAAAGACTTTCAAATTAAGTACATATCAAAATCGGGTTTGAAATAATCGAATGTAATCTTCTGTAAGAACAACTTTTCTGAGAAATATCAAAACTTTTAAAAAACCGTGTCCAAAACTGCATTATCAAATATCATTTATAAAAATTCCCATTCAATCCCACACATCACCCGCTGACCGTAACTATGACAATGGTCCAAGTCCCAGTCAGAGATAACAGCCAACTGCTGATAACAACGCCGAAACGAAAACACCAAACACACACTCACATTCCACTTCACTCACTGTGGAGGAAGCCAGCGGCAATGGCCTCGGTTGGACTGCTGCTATCGCTACTCGCCATTGCAATCATTTGGAACGCTTCTCTCCTGCGAAGCGAAGCTGCCAACATACTGGGCGTTCTGCCGACATGGGCCAAATCCCACTACATTATCGGTGCCGAATACCTCCGGACGGTGGCACTGGTAGGCCATAATGTGACTGTGATTACACCGTTCTCCCTCCGGGATGCTCCGCCAAACTATCATGAATTTGTGATGGACGGAATTCTGGATGCTTCCTCAGGTGAGTAAATCTATGACATACGAGTATTGAACTCAAAATGGCAGAAATTTCTTTCAAGGTCTGGAAAAGAATTACTTCAAGTATAAGGATGGATCATTCTTGATGATTTTGTCGATGCTGTACAATGACCTAGCGGACACGACCTGCAGTTTTGTTCTACAGCATCCCAAGGTTGTAGCCCTGATGAACTCGGATCAGCGCTTCGACGCAGTGATAGTGGAAACCTTCATGACGGAATCGATTTACGGATTGGCTCAGCACTTCAACGCTCCATTGATCGTGTTTTCCACTCTGGGCGGTAACCTTTGGACCAACGGACTTGTAGGAGCTCCAGCTCCCTACTCGCATGTAGCCCATCTGATGCTAGGGCTAACGGATCACATGAACTTCTGGCAGAGGATGCTCAATACGGCTGTTGGAGTCGGGGAGCAGATCTACTACGAAGCGGTGTACCTACCGAAACAGAAACGGTTCTACGAACAGGCGTTCCCCCGGGCAAGAATTCCTTTTGAACAACAGATGAAAAACGTTTCGCTAGTACTACTGAATCAACACTTTGCTTTGAGTAGTCCTCGAGCGTATCCGCCCAACATGGTTGAGGTCGGAGGTATTCACGTGCGGGAGGTTCAACCGCTGCCTGAGGTGAGTTGTTTGTGAGGTTTCCTTATGCAAATGTTGAATAATCTTCGTTTTAGGATCTTAAGCGATTTCTGGACGAAGCGCAGTACGGAGTCATCTACTTCTGCATGGGATCTCACATTCAATCGAAGCATTTTCCTACCGATAAGCGAGACGCCTTTATCAAAGTTTTCTCCCAAGTGAAGCAGCGGATCCTGTGGAAATTTGAAGACGAAACGATGGCAAATCTTCCACACAACGTCCTGATACGCTCGTGGATGCCTCAAAACGACATCCTAGCTCACCCGAACGTCAAACTCTTCATGACCCACGGAGGCCTACTCGGAACTACGGAGGCCCTGTACCATGGAAAACCAATTGTTGGGATTCCCATCTTTGGCGATCAGCTGATGAACGTTGAGAAGGCCGTTCGATCCGGATACGGTCTCAAGCTGGATTACGAGCTTATCGGGGAGGCGAGTGTCAGAAAGGTGATCGATACGGTACTAGGAGATCGATCGTACACAGAACGAGCTCGTCGGATATCCCGCTGGTTTCACGATAAACCGTTGACGGCCTCGGAAACAGCTGTCTACTGGACGGTGTATGTGATACGGCATCGGGGAGCGCAGCAACTGCAATCGCCTGCGGTCCATTTGAACCTGGTGCAGTATCATCTGATCGATGTCTACGGGGTTTTGCTGGGTGTGCTATTGCTGAATTTGGCGGTAGTTTGCATGATTTTTAAGATGCTTCAGAAGCTATGCACGAAGTCCCGTAAAAGTAAAGAAGACTAACGTCTTAAGACCAATCCAAATGTTCAACAGTTTAGGTTCATTCAATGAAGAATAGGTCAACTTAACAGGCTCAGATTCGTTTGAAACTTTCCACAATTACAACAAATAAAATATTGCGTTTTCGATATTTTTTAATAAATCATTGCACGAAAACATCGCACCTAATCGAAGTGACGTCTGAGACAAAGTTGAAGGGAAATAAAGACTTCATAGAAAATATAAACAATTAAAACATATTAGTCATTTATCGATAAAAAAATCCAAAAAGTAACAAAACTTAATAACATACAATTTTTGAATGGAATAATTTTGTAATACACTCTTAATAATTCTGAACTTACGCTCTTTTTTTTCGCCTCTATTTTTGATCTTGTGATCTCAATTTGCAACTAATTATAACGTAACACCTAACTCCGCTAGGTGGCGCTAGTGAACATTCGAAGGGTATATGTTTGTGCTGCTGTATCTCAAGATCCTGACTATTTAGACGGATAATCTTTTCGGCAAAGATGATCAGGAGGTCAAGGACTGTTGGATTATGGACAGAACAATTCAGAATTCCTCCACTAGGTGGCGCTTGTGAGCATTCGAAGTGTATATTTTTGTGCTGCTGTATCTCAAGATCCTGACTATTTAGACGGATAATCTTTTCGGCAAAGATGATCAGGAGGTCAAGGACTGTTGGATTATGGACAGAACAATTCAGAATTCCTCCACTAGGTGGCGCTTGTGAGCATTCGAAGTGTATATTTTTGTGCTGCTGTATCTCAAGATCCTGACTATTTAGACGGATGATTTCTTCGGCAAAGATGATCAGGAGGTCAAGGACTATAGGATGATGGACAGAACAATTCGGAATCCCTCCACTAGGTGGCGCTAGTGAGCATTCAAAGTGTATATTTTTGTGCTGCTGTATCTCAAGATCCTGACTATTTAGACGGATGATTTCTTCGGCAAAGATGATCAGGAGGTCAAGGACTATAGGATGATGGACAGAACAATTCGGAATTCCTCCACTAGGTGGCGCTAGTGAGCATTCGAAGTGAATATGTTTGCGCTGCTGTATCTCAAGATCCTGACTATTTAGACGGATGATTTCTTCGGAAATGTTGATCAGGAGGTCAAGGACTGTTGGATGATGGACAGAACAATTCGGAATTCCTCCACTAGGTGGCGCTAGTGAGCATTCGAAGTGAATATGTTTGCGCTGCTGTATCTCAAGATCCTGACTATTTAGACGGATGATTTCTTCGGCAAAGTTGATCAGGAGGTCAAGGACTATAGGATGATGGACAGAACAATTCGGAATCCCTCCACTAGGTGGCGCTAGTGAGCATTCAAAGTGTATATTTTTGTGCTGCTGTATCTCAAGATCCTGACTATTTAGACGGATGATTTCTTCGGCAAAGATGATCAGGAGGTCAAGGACTATAGGATGATGGACAGAACAATTCGGAATTCCTCCACTAGGTGGCGCTAGTGAGCATTCGAAGTGAATATGTTTGCGCTGCTGTATCTCAAGATCCTGACTATTTAGACGGATGATTTCTTCGGCAATGTTGATCAGGGGGTCAAGGACTGTTGGATGATGGACAGAACAATTCGGAATTCCTCCACTAGGTGGCGCTAGTGAGCATTTGAAGTGAATATGTTTGCGCTGCTGTATCTCAAGATCCTGACTATTTAGACGGATGATTTCTTGGGCAAAGTTGATCAGGAGGTCAAGGACTGTTGGATTATGGACAGAACAATTCAGAATTCCTCCGCTAGGTGGCGCTTGTGAGCATTCGAAGTGTATATTTTTGTGCTGCTGTATCTCAAGATCCTGACTATTTAGACGGATGATTTCTTCGGCAAAGATGATCAGGAGGTCAAGGACTATAGGATGATGGACAGAACAATTCGGAATCCCTCCACTAGGTGGCGCTAGTGAGCATTCGAAGTGAATATGTTTGCGCTGCTGTATCTCAAGATCCTGACTATTTAGACGGATGATTTCTTCGGCAAAGTTGATCAGGAGGTCAAGGACTATAGGATGATGGACAGAACAATTCGGAATCCCTCCACTAGGTGGCGCTAGTGAGCATTCGAAGTGTATATTTTTGTGCTGCTGTATCTCAAGATCCTGACTATTTAGACGGATGATTTCTTCGGCAAAGATGATCAGGAGGTCAAGGACTGTTGGATGATGGACAGAACAATTCGGAATTCTTCCGCTAGGCGACGCTACTTAACATTCCAAGTATATATATTTTTATACTGCTGTATCTCAAGATCCTGAGTATTTAGACGGATGATTTCTTCGGCAATGTTGATAAGGAGGTCAAGGACTGTTGGATGATGGACAGAACAATTCGGAATTCCTCCGCTAGGTGGCACTAGTGAGCATTCGAAGTGAATATGTTTGCACTGCTGTATCTCAAGATCCTGACTATTTAGACGGATGATTTCTTCGGCAAAGATGATCAGGAGGTCAAGGACGGTTGGATGATGGACAGAACAATTCGGAATTCCTCCACTAGGTGGCGGTAGTGAGCATTCGAAGTGAATATGTTTGCGCTGCTGTATCTCAAGATCCTGACTATTTAGACGGATGATTTCTTCGGCAATGTTGATAAGGAGGTCAAGGACTGTTGGATGATGGACAGAACAATTCGGAATTCTTCCGCTAGGTGGCGCTAGTGAGCATTCGAAGTGAATATGTTTGTGCTGCTGTATCTCAAGATCCTGACTATTTAGACGGATGATTACTTAGGCAATGTTGATCAGGAGGTCAAGGACTGTTGGATGATGGGCAGAACAATTCGGAATTCCTCCGCTAGGTGGTGCAAGTGATCATTCGAAGTGAATATGTTTGCGCTGCTGTATCTCAAGATACTGACTATTTAGACGGATGATTTCTTCGGCAATGTTGATCAGGAGGTCAAGGACTGTTGGATGATGGACATAACAATTGTGAATTCTTCCGCTAGGCGGCGCTAGTGAGCATTCGAAGTGAATATGTTTGCGCTGCTGTATCTCAAGATCCTGACTATTTAAACGGATGATTTCTTCGGCAAAGTTGATCATTGGGTCAAGGATTGTTGGAGTGCTATCTATGATCTTCTCTGGCTATTACGTCCCAACTGTAACTTAACGCCTGCTCTCAACTTAGTGCTCTAGATGCACTTCCACAGTTGTTAATTGAAAGCTTTCCAAGCCTGTTCGATTTTTACATGTGTATATTGTGTGGTAAGTACAATAATATACTATGCCCAGGGAAGTCGAGAAATTGTCCAATCTGAAATCCTAGACCAACCGGGATTGGAACCCAGCCACCTCCAGCATGGTTTGCTTTATAGTCGCAGGCTCTACCGACCGAGCTTATGGAGGCCTCCTGATCTATGAATGTAATCAAACTAAAATGCGAGATGGTAGCCTAATTAACAAGTTTTGAGGACAATTTGGTGAACCTAGAACGTCTTAAACATATCGAATTCAAACGTAAATAATGTGCATGATATGTTTAACCCTGTTTGGAGATGTTTTAATACAAAGGGCTTTGAATCAGTGAACCTGGATGAGAATTTGATCTGAACTCAAGGACAATTTGGAGAACCGTGAGTATCTTATACACCTCAAAATCAACTATAAACGAACAGCAGAAACTGTATAAACGTGTTTCGGAAAGTTTTGTCGGTGAGATCATTGTGCAGATTTTAGTTGATCCATTAGATCAAATAATCTGACCTCTAGAACAATTTGAAGAACCTAGATACACCTAATACACCTTAAATTGATGTTGTTTGGAGATGTTTAGTTGCTAAGGACCTTGTATAAAAAAAAGGTTGATCAGGTAAATCATTTGATCTGAGCTCAAGACAATTTGGAGAACCTTGATTATAAATCAAAATAAATCAAAAACGATCCGCAGAAACTAATTGTGTGGTGCTTCGCATTGTTCTTCATCAGCAGTTCTTTCGGTCGATGCGTCGTCATCCAAGAAAAGCAAGCGTTTCGTGATTAGTGTGTGAGTGCTGACCACGTTTTGCGTCCATTGCTGCAATGGAAGCACTCAGCCCCACGTTGGCGATACTGCCATTCAATGAACCCACTGGAAGCGGATCCCGTTCTAATGGAGGATGCTTATTGGATAGCGGAAGATAAAGTGTTTATTGTGTTTTACGTTATGAATATACTTCTAAGTTGTTTTGTATTGTGAACAAGAATCCTCGACTCTGTAAAATTAATTAGATTGAGCCTTATCAAATAAATTAACGAACAAAAAAAAATGTTGTGAAGATCTGTACTTTAAAAAGGATTACTTTTGAGGCAAGATAAGGCTTCCTCAACAAGTTTAAGGAAAAGGATATACCAATGTCCACAACAGGTACAGCAAAAACATCACAAAGACGCCCTTATTCGCACTATCTATTCAGTGGTAGAAGGAAAAGAAGAGTCACCGCAGCCAACTGAAGCTTGAACCGGGAAACTGGGAAACTTACAATACCCGCGATTCCGGTGTGAGAATCATGTGCATAGACTCACAGGAACAAAATCTAGGTCACTCAGAATAGAGTGTTGAGGATGGTACTTAATCATCCTTTCGATACAAGAATTTCCGATCTCCATCTAGAGCCTAACGTTCCTAAATTAAATTTAAAAATTGCTGACATTAAGGCTTGGTTTATGCAGAAATGCAACACATCAGAACATTTGTGAATAGTAGGTTAGATGTATATAGTAGACGTAGGTTAGTTGTAGTTGTAAATAGTAGTTATACAGTAGTCTTCTTTTTTTTTCAATTACAAGCAAACCAATCCCACCAAGGTGGTCATTATCTAAACAGGCCTGATAGGAGTAGAAACATTAAATAATTAAAAAAATTCAAATAAACTAAAGTTGAAAAGACGCATCTCTGTCACTTGAAAATGCATACCCAAGCAACACGGCTTGTCATAAAGAAGTTGAAAATACTTTGTAATGACTAACGCGAAGAATCACTAATACTTTAATATACATCATTTAATACATTTATACAACCTAAAAAGCGCAAGACGCGGAGCTTATACAACTAAATACTGGTCTTATAACATGTATTTTGGAAACATCATAAAAACCAGCGACAAAAAAAAAAACAATAAAAAAAATCTTGAGCATGGGATTCGATCACTGGTCCTTGGCGTGGTAGACTTGTTTCTACCTAACTAGACCAACACCGCTTGATGAAAGGTTTGTTATAAGTATCTATCATGTTCTTGCCAATGGCATGAAAATTATTTTCTCGTTCAACACGCCTTCGATCCGTCATGAAGACGTTTTGTTAGTAGCAAAGCGTACATCTAATTGCCAGAATGTTATTTAAACGTATTTTCAACTCCTTATAAGACAACCTGCACATTTTCAGTTGTTTTAATTTATGAGATGTCATAAAAAAGTATTTTCAACTTTCTTTATAACAAACCTCCGAATACCTCATAAGAAACTGTCAATCACGGCATGAAGAGACAGTCCGGCTCAATGGCACCGTCAATGTTTACGTCAATCTGGATTGATTTTGTATACGACAAGTTTTATAGTGGTATTAAACCAGTAAGATGCACGTTCAAATAACATTTTAAGATAAAAGCAAAAGAAAACTATTTTGGAAAATGTTGAATCGAAGAAGTATGAAGAAAACATCTTTAAACCTCATATATAACGTAGGATTTTTTCTGCATCTCTTATAATACATTTATACAACAATCCGTTCTAATTATTTTTCAAAAGATGTTTTATGTGTTACTTGGGTACATGCATGAATGTACCACACAAACTCTAGAAATGAAGATCATTTAAAGTAAAAGAAAACTAAACTCAGATCAAGGCGAAAGAATACAAACAGTCGTCAATGATGGGGATCTTTCACGTTGCCCATGTGTACCACTAAAGATACTCCGATAATTTTCGCGCTTTCAAAGCAATGATTGGCCTGATTTTGCATTTATATCACAGACAAGCAGACGTAATTCTTTAAATACAATTTGCTGACACATATCGCCACGGAACACACTAACGACAACAAGTTCGATATAACGCATAGAAACGTCAAAGTGATCCGATGCCAGTGCTGTGGTGGGAGCTGCATGCACCTAATAATTAATATTTAAATTGATCGTTAAATGCATTGCATTGAGGAGAAAGAGATACGCCTGTTTACCTGTGTTCATATTCTCAATATTGTTTGTTTTGCTATTTCAACGAAGCATATTTAAAGTTATTTAAGTCAAATAACGATTTCAAAATAACTGCGTCGCAGGTTGATTTATTGTTAATGAGCCGCAAACAACCAAAGCTTAAGAACCACTGGCCTGCACAATCAATTATGCACTTCATTGTCTCCTTAAATGGGAACCATGACTAGACACATACGGCACATACCGATGAAAGTCGTTTTATCTATTCGTTCACACAATCACCAGACACCGCGATAAGATATCGCACCTTGATTATTTTTAACTGACCTTCCCGACAGGCAGGAAGAAGATGGATCAGTTCAATCAGTTCGTCACAAGTTATCACGATGGCCGCTCGCTCGACAGCAGCAATCGTCCTACTGGCCTTGGTGACCTTCTCCGAGGGTGCCAAGATCCTCGGCGTTCTACCAACGAAGGGAAAATCTCACTACATTATCGGGGCTGCCTACATGAGATCCCTGGCCGACGCTGGTCATGATGTCACCGTCATCAGCCCGTTCCCAAGCAAGAACCCACCGAAAAACTACCGAGACATCGAATTAACCGGAATGGACGAACAGATGGAAAAGAACTTCGATCAGAATATGTTCAACTTCAAGGGTTCCGGAGTATTCCTCGCACCATTTTTCATGCTGACCATGATGTACGAGATGTTCGCCGAAATGATGTGCTTATTTATCCTGCAACATCCGAACGTCGTGGAGCTGCTCAACTCAAATGAAAAATTTGACCTTGTGATAGTGGAAACGTTCATCACCGAGTCACTGTACGGTTTTGCACAGCACTTTGAAGCCCCCCTGGTTACGTATTCCACATTCGGAAGCTCCATGTGGACGAACGATCTAGTAGGAACTCCAGCACTACCTTCTCACGTGGCCCACTTCATGCTCAGCTATACGGATAAAATGACGTTCTGGCAACGGTTCCACAATACATTTATGACCATTTTCGACCGACTCTACTTTGAGTGGATCTATCTACCGAAACAGAAGCGGTTCTACGAGATGGGTTTCCCGAATGCCAAACTGACGTTCGAACAGCAGATGAAGAATATATCGTTAGTGTTTCTGAATCAACATTTTAGTTTGAGTAGCCCTAGACCGTATCCACCCAATATGATCGAAGTCGGTGGAATTCAGGTTGAGGAGGCAAAACCCCTGCCGGAGGTAGGATTTCTACGACTCACTAATACCGAATTGAATTTAATCAAACTTTTCTTTTTAGGACCTCCAAAAATACCTGGACGAATCCAAGGAGGGAGTTGTATACTTCTGCATGGGATCGAACATCAAATCCATCCACTTCCCGGAGGAAAAACGCAACGCCTTCCTAAAGGTCTTCTCCAAACTAAAGCAGCGAGTTTTGTGGAAGTTCGAAGATGAAACCATGCCGAATCAACCGCCGAATTTGATGATCAAGTCTTGGATGCCCCAGAATGATATCCTTGCTCATCCGAACGTCAAGCTGTTCATTACTCACGGAGGTCTACTGGGCACGACGGAAGCCCTATATCACGGGAAGCCCATGATCGGAATACCGATCTTCGGCGATCAGCCGATGAATGTCGAAAAGGCCGTTCGCTCCGGGTACGCCGTACTGCTGGATTACGATGACATCACCGAGGTTAATGTGTATAATGCGATCGATGCAGTTTTGAACGATCCATCGTACGCCAGAAATGCCGAGTTGGTATCCGACCGCTTCCGGGATAAGCCAATGACTCCCAAGGAAACGGCAGTATTCTGGGCTGAATACGTAATTCGACATGGGGGAGCTCCCCAACTTCGCTCGTCTGCGGTTGAACTTTCGCTGCTGCAGTACCAGCTCATAGATGTCTACGCCATGATGCTAGCTATGCTGACAGCCGTACTGGCTGTTAACGTGTACGTAGCGAGGAAGCTCTTCCGGAAGGTGTTCAAAAGTAGATCCCCGGTAGTAGGCAAGAGAAAGAAACAGTCGTAGATTGAGTTGCTTGAATGTAATCTTGAATAATAAACCACCGATTTGAAATAAAACTCCTTTTGAAGTACGTCAACGATAACTTAATCGCGAAAGAGCTGATCTCCCTTCGTCTCTTAACCCTTTCGGTTAAGCTCTATTATTGGTTGCATAAAATCAAAAGTAATAGATAGCTGCATACCTTCTTCAGTATAGTTGTAGTTGTGGGTGTCCACTATGTATACAGGAAAAATATGAGAGCACCAGTTTATAGCCAAACTCACAGGCCTAGATCTCCAAAACCTCATGAAGTTATTATGTTGACGAACACAGACTTCAATCTGGTTTTTTTCTCGTTAATAAAGTCTTAAACAAATAAACTTTTATCTGGACAGCGGCGATATCTTTAGCAACTGATCATGGACTGCCATGTTAATTCAACCAAATTTGACAATTCTAGATGAACTAAGTACTCCAAATTGTCCAGGAGTTCAGACTGCTTGATCTACTGGATCAACCAAGGTCTGCGCGATGCCCTCAGGGATGACACCTACCCAAACATGTTCATTGAGATTTTGCTCATCATTTATAATTAAATTTTGATGTTCAAGATGCTCAAGGTTCTCCAAATTATCCTTAAGTTAAGATCAGATAATCTACCAGATCATCAATGACTGATACAATGCCCTTTGCTACGAAACAACTCCACATAGGCTCATAGAGATTATGTACATAATTTACGATTTAATTCCATGCACATAAGGTGTTCGAGGTTCTTCAAAATGTCCAGCAGTTCAGCTTATTTGATCTACTGGATCAACCAAGGCCTTTACGATGTCCTCACCTATCTAAACATGTTCATAGACTTCAACTAACCATGTTTTATTACTTCATGCGTGAATTTAACGATTTAGTGGTGGTAGCTGGGAGGGGGGACACACCCCTTACGAACCCTCATGAACGGATGAGTTTGGTAAAAAAGGATGCCCGACCCGATTCATACCTTCCTAAAAATTGTCCGTTGCTCACTTACTACTTTCTATATACAATTTTCGCAGCGCCGTACTTTAACGGAACTCTATACTTTCATCTCCTCATCTATTGTATAAAATGACCACTTTAAGTCTGGTATTTGACGGTAAGCATCCCCAACTATGTTCATAGAGTTTTTGTGCATCATTTATAATCCATTTTCAGGTATATAACATGCTTAAGGATCTCTAAATTATCCTGGAGTTTCGTTAAAATGATCTACATTGGCCTTAGTTACGAAATAACTCCAAACAGGTTCATAGACTTTGACTATATGTTTTGTATTACTTCTGCGTGGAGTCAACGATTTACATAGTTTAAGATGCTATTTTCAAATAACAGTTAGTCTTTTTGCCAGTGGTGGCGAGAGGGAATACCCCTCACCATCCCTCTCCAACGGGGGAGTTTGGTAAAGAGAGATGATCACACCGATTTGTACCTTCCTAAAGTTGTCCTTGCTCACTTTCTACTCTCTATATAAAATTTTCACACTGCCGTACTCTAACGGAACTATCAACTCTATACTTTCATCTCCTCATCTATCGTATAAAAATTACCATTTTAGTCTGTTATTTGAAATTAGCATCTTCAACTATAGGTTCATAAAGATGATGCACATCATTTACGTTTCAATTCAATGAACATAAGGTGTTCTAGGTTCACCAAATTGTATACTGGATCTACTGGATCACTCAAGGCCTGCACGAAGTCCTCAGTGAACACACATGTCCAAACAAGTTCATACAGTTTTTGTGCATCACTTGTAAACTCTATGAACCTGTTTGGAGTTGCTTCACACTAAGATTTTGTTTTCGTATTCGGTAAATTTTACCGAAATCAGAACAGCTGAACGTTCGGTAAAACTTTGACCTTCATTTTAAAGGCTATTGAACTTGAAAATAATTTCAAAACATACTCAACCTCGGTTAAACGATCAAATCTTGTCGTTTTAGTGGAGATTTAGTTTCAAAGTAACTGAAAAGCAATTGCATTGAATTACATAAATTTTACCGAACGGTTCAGCTGTTCAGATCTCGGTAAAAATAACCGAAGTCGGCGATAATTTATAAATGTGTTCGCAACTAAGGTAGATCATTTAATCTGAACTTCAGGATAAATTGCAACTACAGGATAAAGAACAGAGTGGTAGCAGCGCGCTGGTGTGGTGGCTACTGGACGTGCATTGTTGGACAAAGGCCAAAAAGCTGAGCATATCCAGGCCAAATACAAAAAAAAAATGTTTGACTAGACCTTCTCCGATTTGTATGAAACTTTGAATAATTGTTTGTTATGGTCATTAGTTCAAAAATTCGCCTATTTTGAATCTTAACAGTGTTTTCAAAATGGAATCTTTGACATTTTTCAATAAACAATCAAAATGACGTCTGAGACACAATTGTAGAGGAAAACAAAGTATTTCTAGGAAAAATATAGACGTTAATTTTTTTAGTGATTTAGAGTAAACATTTCAGAAAAGGGTTATATTCTTATTTCAAAATGCCATGGTAAAATAGAGCTTATGAAAAATGCAAACTCTTGAAATATTGGGAACCTTGGACGCTTATGGCGGTAAGCTCCATCGAGGATAAAACGCGATTTAATCAAGATTTTCAAAAATCTAGATGAAATCAAGCGGAACGTTACATTAGATCCTAAGTAACATTGATCGATTCTCTTAGTCGACTTTCTCTTTCGTTAATAACATGAGCACATAACCGTTTCTTGTTGTGTTTGTCGTATTAGATGCTGAATAAAAACTTCTTTTATCGATCTGTGTGCTGAAAATACCTGGGAATGTATTTACATGGCCGAGGGGATACAAAGAGAAAGTCGACGAATAAAATCTGTCAATGTTACTTAGGACCTAATGCAATGTTCAGCTTGAAAATTGAATACCCCATTCGGTAATCAGCAAGAGAGGATAAAACATAGAAAGCACGCAGCCATTCTCTCTCGCATAGTAAAGAATGTCAAGGTGTGAGTGTATTCAGATATGCAGGCCGAAGATGAGTACTAGACCAACATTTGAAATATGCAGAACAACCAAACATAATCAATGGCATTAAACGCTAATTTGACAGTGAGCATGCATAAGGGAGAAAACGCGATCGATTCTCTTCATCGATTTTCTCTTTGCATTGCTACAGCTAAGCGAAACAATTTTCTAGAATTTGTTCAATGCAGAGTAGTAACAGGTTGTATTGGCTATCAAAAGCAACAGCAAACGCACCGAGAAACGTTAAATCTAGCGAGTTATTAACAAAAGAGAAAATCGACGAAGAGAATCGATCATCGCGTATAGGCCCTTATGAATGCTTACTGTCGAATTTGTCAAGAATCAAAACACACCCCCACCAACTAACAATGTCATTCGATCAAAGAACTTTGTTTTTTTTTTCAGATGCTGGTGTTAGATTGCGTGGATGTGTTTTGATTCTAGAGAAATTTGCAATTAAAGCCATTCCTTACGTTTGGTTGTTCCACCTATTTTGTTGGTCTTGATTCTCGACAAAGGTTTGAGCTGGACGATTTATTATTAAGATAATTAAGTATAACATACTAACCAGATAGATAAGCAAACAAAAACGACTTAGTTACAGTTACAGATATAAATTCCCTCAGCACTTTTCAGTTGCTTCACAGCGATATAAACGTGACAAAACTTAGGCGTTCACCACTATGTTCACAAGCATTCCAACAAGAAGTTCACTGCACTTCCGACGAACAATTCAGAGATCTTCCGACGAGAGGTTCAGAGAACTTTCGATAAGAAGTTCACAGACCTTTTGAAGAAAATTTCACAGAACTACTCTGAAGTCCACAAAACTTCATTAAAGATCCCTGAAGCTCCGTCGAGAAATTCAGAGTGTTTCAATCAAGAAGTCTAGAAATCTTCCAACGACAAATTCAGGGAATTCTCGACGATTCTAACGAAAAGTTCCCAGAACTTCCGGCGAAAAATTCAAATACACAGAACTTCATTTAATATCCCTGACATTCACAGAACTTCATTAAAGTTCCTTGAAGTTCTAACAAGAAGTTCAGCGAACTTCTAACAAGAGGTTCACAGAGCTTCTGACAAATATTTTCCGACGAGAAGTTCACACTTCCTTGAAGTTCTGACGATTAGTTTACAGAATTTCCGATGATAAGTTCAGATATCTTCTAAAGAGAAATTCTGACAACAGAGAAGTTTGGAGAATTTCCTACGATTAGTTCAGAGATCTTGTCGAGTAGAATCTTTACTATTGATATCTAAAGTTGATATGGATTTGCGTTACATAAGCGGAAAGAAATTTAGAAATAATATCAAAACATAGCATAACCAATTCAGTGAACATCCGAGATGTTCTGAAAAGAAGATCTGAGAAAACATCGTCGAAAATTTTTGAGAACTTCACAAAATTTCCGACGAGAAATTCAGAGAACTTCCGAGAAGGAATACACAGAACCTCCAACGAGAAATCCAGAGAAAATTCAAGAAGAAGTACAGAGAACGTCCGACGAGAAATTCCGAGAACTTCCTTTAAGAAATTCACAATTCCGACGAGAAGTTCATCCAGAAGAGCAGCATAATCCATCTTGAATAGGCAACAAGTTTCTTGGAAAACATGGAACATGATATAGGGGCAATCGAGTGATGCGAAAAAGTCCGCTGAGGGATTTCATTGTCTTGGCGACACTTTCAATCGCTTGCTGCTTGCTTCCGAATAAGATGTCCAGGAAGATGATGAAAAATAATGAACGTTGATCGTTCCGGATGGGACCAAGCCGTAACAAACTTTCGGCTAGCTGCGGTCGGAACAACTGCAGCGAATCGGATTCCGCAAACATAAACCGAAAAATGACTTTTGATGCTCGTGCGAGAGCGGTGAGAGCAGATTTAGTTTTGGCTGCGTTATTTTTGAAAATCCAAGATTTTTCATTTTTTCGGCTTAACCACGCCAAGACTTGATTGCCGACTGAAATTTTATCTATGCCCAAGTCAAGGATGATGATATGTCACATTACCCATGTCACTGAAGGTGCTCCGACCCGTTTC